CTAAATCTGCTTCTTTGATAGGTATAAATTGTTTAGTGTAAAATCTACACCAATCAAAGAAGCAGATTTAATACTTGGTACGCGTACTAAACAATCGGTGTAAACTAAGCCAATGTGTGACGAAGAGAGCCAATATAAGTCCGCGCTATAAGAAACGACTATGAATACCGGCTTATGAATACCGCCCTAAGACCAAACGCTCCCTCCTGTTTCTTTTTACTCAATGGTTTATACTGTGCCAATATTGGAAAAAAAAGAACTAGAGAGTGAATTTAGTACTATTTCCTAACCTAATAGCGCGCGCAGTGCGATACTTTCGACAGTGGTGTTTATAGATGCAAAGATAAAAGTATCCTGTGTAAGAGCAGCAACGCTGTTTCACCAAATTTTTGAAGTGGTTCTCTTGAGCACTCTTGAGTTCTAACGAGACGCGGCTGCGTAAATAAAGTTAAAAATTGCAAGAATGTCAGTGGAAGAACAATCGGATTTTCGACTAGGATCCGATCCCAATATCACATATCCTATACAGGTCCATTATTGCGGAAATTGTTCGCTTCCCATCGAGGTAAATTGCAAGTCATTTTTAACGTTAATTTGTAGTAAATGTGTAATATAAATGCACAAATTATAATCAACAGTGATTTTATATTTTTGAAATTTGAATAAAAACTAATTAGATAAAAATTATAAAAAGTTTAGAGTGTTTGACGTTTTTTGTTGCTTTTTAATAGAAAACATATGTCTAATTAAAAAAAAAAAGAAATTAGTAATAATAAATTTCATTGTGTGAATGCAGTTATCAATGCTGTTAGATTTAAAATAATTAACAGTACTGGTTTGTAAATCTAACTATTGTTGATCCACAGTATTGCGAGTACTATCCTGAGTATGACAAGTGCAAGCAATGGTTGGAGAGAAACCTGCCTAATGAATTCGAAAAAATGAAATTAGGTAAATATGAAATATCTAGAAATCTTAAAACAACAATTTGAGTTTCTAACTGATATTATGTTATGATCAATCAGAGGATGGTTCTATTGAAGCTGGTGGAGGAGAAGACGAAAAGAAACGACAGAAACGAGGTGGTAAAGGTATGTTAAAAACTAAGAAAAAAGAAGACATACCACGGTTAGTGACTGTCTCCAGAGCACCTAGAGGGAAGAAGAAATCCGTCACAGTTGTGACTGGTCTTAGCACTTTTGGTAAAGCTTTGAATCAGTATGCTAATTGAATCCAAATAAATAAACAAAGTTTTAATAATGGAAAATTTTAACTTTATAGATATAGACTTAAAAGTAGCAGCAAAATTTTTTGGAAGTAAATTTGCCTGTGGATCCAGCGTTACCGGGGATGATGAGATTGTTATTCAGGGAGATGTCAAAGATGATCTGTTTGAAGTAATACCCGAAAAGTGGCCACAAGTGAGTTCTACAATAAAAAAAATTTGAAATGTAAAAATTTTTAATGGAAAATTGCGTTGTTTTTTAGATTGATGAAGACTCTATAGATGATCTTGGGGATCAAAAGAGATAATAAGGCTATCGATATTATGTATGCACAATTATATTTAATATTATACTATTTCCATTCTAGTGTTTATTACAAATAAAATGTACATATAAAATATATTTAAATAAGCTATGTTAAAATTTTAGATTAAGTCTCTTGTTCTATATCTGGATCATCTCGCACATTTGCGACGATTCGGAGTACAGTTTCCACTTCTTCCTCTGTCAAGCGTTCCTCACTTTCTTCTACCAACTGTGCTCAAAAAAACAAAATAATTATCTTAAAATTGAGGTACAATTAAAACACTACAAAGCAAATTTTTTTTCTTTAAATAAAAAAAACCAATAACTTTATGAAAAAGAACCATACCAATTGTATTTCGAGTGGAGTGGTAGGGCAGATATTGAGAAGAGCAAGCTTTTCAGCTTTTGTTAGTTTGATAGGCTCCATCGCTTTTAAGTATTCTTTGATTTTTTCTGGAGACTGATTCTTGCATACTCCAGCTAGAGATTCCAAATATTTGATCGTCTCATAAGTGATGGTTGCTAATTGATTCATCTGTTGCTTTTTATAAGATTTAGTATTTTGAAGGATATCGAGAACCTCGTAATTGCTCAACAGGGTATTCCAATTTCCTTTTATTCTAAAAGAAAAATCCAGAATTAATTTTTGTAAATCAAACAAAAAGACAATTTTAGCAAAGTTAATGATGACTTACACTTTCATGTTATAATTTGTTTTTGATTAAATAGAATTTTAATTGTAACTAATGATTGTAAATCAACTTTTTTAACATCGAGGTTATGATGATTAATCAAAGGTTATGTTTCTAATAAGCTACGTTGTGGCTGCGTTAGTTTAAAGTATCCTTTCCGTGAATTAATTTGCTTACTCACAAAGCCAATAATTCTGCAATTATTAAAAATATTAAACATTTATAAAATTAAATAAAGGTTAAAAAAAATAAAATATACATTAAAAAATTACACATTGACCCCGACGTGATTTGAACACGCAACCTTCTGATCTGGAGTCAGACGCGCTACCGTTGCGCCACGGAGTCATGCGGTGACAGCACCTATAAACTTAAATTTAAAGCACAGCATAACCATAGTATAATAATTTAGTAATAAAATAATTAAATATTTTTTAATAAAAAAATAAGTATTTGGAAAATTGAAAAGTGATCAACCAATGTTTAGTTGCTTTGAACCGGTTAGCTCAATATTCACAGTTGAAAGGCGACCATACAAAAAAGATTTCTAGCAAAAGTTTCTAAACGGACTCAAGTCTAGTTCCTTTTCTTTTTTAGCTGATGGTTTTGAAAATGAGCAATAACATAATTGTCGATAAATAAAATTGTGGTAACTTTTTTACTACACGAGGTTAAGAAAACGATAATTTTATGGAGAAATTTAGTCAGTTGTCTTAATTGTAATAATTCTTAGGAGCCTTGCCCTCGAAAGACAAGAAAGACTGAAAAAGAAAGAGGCCATTTGTATATAGTTCTGTCTCTTCCTTTCGTAGGCGCATTGCAAACCTCCTCGGCGTCGGCACGCAGAGGTGGGTCGTACAGCGGGCGACGGGGATCAGAACGTGACCTACGCAAGAGATGTCGACAAGATGACAGCGACCGTATGACAACGCTGGCTGGCTGGCTGGCCACATTGTTGCCCGCCCTCGTACAATACCCTCGACAGAGTCGAGAAAACGTCACTTCACGCCCGAAAGTGCATCAAGTACAGAGAGTATAGCGAAGATAACGAGAAACTTGACAACGTCGTCGTCGTCGTCGTCGTTGTCGTCCGTCGTCGTCGTCGTCGTTGTCGTTGTCGACAGTGCCGCGCCCTTGTGCGATGCGCACAACGGCACCGTGAGTGGTGGTGGTGTGAGATCTCGATGAGGAGTGCCGTCGCCCCTGTGCGTCCGCGTCTGGAGGCATGAGCGTGTTCGGAGACTTTCAGCGTGTCTGGGTGCAACGATTCCCGGACAGCGCCTTGCCGGCCGCATGGGAGGAAGACGTCAGAGCAAATCTGGTCAAGCACAAGCAGAAGGTGAGTCTGAACAATTCTTTTTCTCTGCAGTGTAAAAACAGGTTTGTCTCAGTGGATTATTATCTAGTACACATAGCTGATTTGTTATAAGACTTGAATTGTTGTGAAAAATGTCAATGTGTTTTGATAAATAATTGGTTTGCAACAATGTTGCAATATTCACTGAATATTTATTAATCAGATGACTTATGTATATTTGTATTTGCGAAACACTTTTACTTAATTTCATTAATGTTCTAGATTAGCTTGGTGGATGACTCATCAAAAGAACAGTAGAATTTTTATTAGCAAGTTTTTTAAGTCAACTACTGTGAGGGTTATGAGTACATTTTTTTGAGATAGGATAACTATGAATAATCAGATTGGCTGAACAAGAATGCAGTCTTGCGTAACGATTAAACAGCAATTCAAGTATTGCAATATTTGCTAGACATTAGTCACACCTATGCAACATCTTTGTGCATATATGTATATATCAAAGGATTCTATAAGGGAATACAAGTTGGAGAATGTTGAAGAATGAAGAATAGCACAGAAAGTTTAATTTCTGCATATGTAGTAAAAACTTAGTCATGTGTAATTCAGTTAACACCATGTTGAATGATGACTCATTGAATTAATTGTCTGAAACCTGTTAGTGCCAGAGTACTTACTGACATTTAGAGTATCAGTGAGTTATTATTTTTTTCATTGTTTATAAAATAACAATAAATAAATAAGCAAACAATGAATAAAAAAAAATAATATTGACTTTTTGTTGACAGCTACCGTTCATGAATCATGAGGGAGTTATCTCTATTGTGTTATCACAACACTATAAAAGAACTGATTATATTGAATTATTCTAAAAGTCATTTGTAACATCATGTCTTAAATAGTACTATGTATCAAATAATTTCTAAAGTTTTATTTTAGAAGCATGACAAATTTGTTGAAAAAATATATAGATATAAATGCAAAGCATTTTTTTCCTTTTTCTATTAGAAAAAGATAAAGCTAAAATACAATTTAATCTAGATTAGTTTTTTATAAATCTAACTTTACTTTTTATACAAATCTTATATTTTTATATGAATCTAGTATAATAATATTATTCTCATAAAATAAATCTCTCAAGTCAAATAATCTATTAAGGATAATTTAATAATTGTTTTTTACTACTTTATTAGTTTTTTTAAATTTTTTAGAAAATATCAATATGTTATAAAATAACACGTAATATATATATACACATATTCTTACAGGTGACAGCTTTGAGAGAAGAACTTGAAAAGGAAGAATTTTACGTGGAATATCTAGAGAGATTACTGGCTGATGTTGAGCGACACAAGCAGCTAGCTAATAATGCCAATGCGAGTACAAGTACACTTGAGAATACGCAACAAATGACAGCAGAACCACAGTCTCAACAAAATTCTCAAGTATCAGAAAATAGTTTAGTGGATTCTTCACACTCACCCAGTTCTCAGAATGTTGGATTATCTGCTCCTACTTTGACAGAGCGGGAAGATATCAGCAAGTTTCAAGATAAGTGTGTGTCTGAGTTAAGTTCCACTCTCAATACAGCTGGCAAGAGGCCCAAGAGCGAGATACCAAGGAGTCCCGAGAAAGTGCCTGAACTTAGGAGAAACAGTGATCCGGATGTGCCAAGTAATTATGTCACAGTGATTGAAGTCACCGGAAACTCCAAAAAGGACAAAAACGAGGAGTCTCTCAAAGAGGAAGATGAAAAAGGTACTTTTTAAATTATTTTATATATAAATTTCTCTTGTCGCACTATATGACAATCTATAAAAAAAGAGAAGTCATCTTTATGAAAAAGCACAATAAAAATGTTTTAAAATAAATTTTACTATATTCATTATTTTATAATGCATATAAAGTCTAAAAAGAGTCCCGGCATTTACTAGCACCTAATTGTTGTATTTGGTTCATAAATTTTGCAAAATGTTTTCTATTTGTTCGCCAAGTAGACTTAGAAAAAGTGATCAACGAAGATGGAGAGGAAGGCGATGCGGAGGCATCAGAGGAAGAACCTTACTATGATTCAGTAGCCTTGGATCAAACGGGAGAGTACGTATACATCGATGCGCGTATTCCCGCTGTCAATAGCAACAATAGTAGCAAGGCGGCACCTCGGAGGCCACCTTCTTTGCCAGATTCGCCAGGCAATCAGAGTAATTATGTCAACATCGATTATTTTATACAGTAAGTCGTTCATCTCTTGTTTTACTTTAATTATAACACATTAGGGCCATTAACTAACTGCAGAATATGCGTTCCTTATGTTTATTTCGAATAAAGAATACTTTTTTAACTATACATGCTTTGTTAAATTTGTGCGAGTTACGATGTAGAGATGTACAGACGATTGTTTTCAGGCACAGAACGGCGATGGACAGCGAGGACGAAGAGGGTGCTAGTCCGGCGCCCCCGATCTTGTTGCGAGCTCTTAGCACGGACAACGAAACTGGCAGCAGCGACGCCGAGCCGTTGAGTTTGAGCGAGGGTAGCTTAGAATCACCGACCCCGACGACGCCTCGCAGGCAGGAGAAGAACAAAGATCGCGAGGACGACAGAACGTCGATGGTCAAGTGTATCGTGAATTCGGTGGTGGAGAGCGAGACTGTATACGTGGAGTGTTTATCTGTGATGTTACAAGTATGTCACCATTCACGCTTCGAATATTTCTCACTGTTGTCGTATTTACAACACTGTAATCTTCTCGTCGTATCTCTCTTGCAGTATATGAAAGCTATTAGAGCAACTCTAACGACGTCTCAGCCAGTTATTTCGGAAGAGGAATTCGGGACGATGTTTTACAAGATTCAAGAACTGCACGCTTTGCACGAGACGTTTCTGGATGAGCTCCGAAAGAAGACGGAGAAGTGGGACAACAAGACTACTATAGGAGAACAATTTAAGGTATGACTGACGTATTATTTAAACACGTCTCAAATCTATCTTAAGATATTCTCTATATAAAGTTAGTATAATCATGACGTCATACCGGTTTCAGATTATGGCCAGTAATATAGGATTATACGGCGCGTTTTTGCATAATTACGCTCGCGCGACCGATACCGTACGACGATGTTCCGCCCATTCCACTCAATTTGGAGAGATTACCAGGGATATAAGACTCAGAGGTTTCCCGAAAGGTCCGGGTTTATCATTAGAAGACTTGTTGCACAAGCCGGTTGCACGAGTGCAAAAGAATGCTCTAGTTTTATACGTGGGTATAAAATATCTGTTACAATTTCTTTCCATGTGCGCTATGCGCAGCATCTCTGCGCGATTCCTTAGCAATGATAACATTTTCTACGGCTGATAAAGTCGCATTAATAAATACTACGAGCGATAAGTCTGAAAATACGCATCATTACGTCGCAGTCTATCTTATCTCGATAATTTCTCTTGTTATGTGGTTTGCAGGATCTTCTCAAGCACACGCCAGTCAATCATGCGGATCACGCGCCTCTGTCAGAAGCTTTGGCTATGACCAGAAACTTCCTAGACGAGTTCAATATTATTCAGACAAAGTCCATGTTTCCGGTAAGATTTGCATAATTCACACCGCAATAACGTAATCTTCAATTTTATTTTATACAATTGCGTAATCGCGTCCGTTGTGATACACTTGGATTCCTTTTTATAGAGCCACGACAGAGCCCAACGAAGATTGGTAAAGAATTCGTTTGTGGTCGAGCTTTCCGACGGCCACAGAAAATTGAGACATCTCTTTCTCTTTAACGACGTGATCGCCTGTGCCAAGTACAAAGCGTCTGGAAGAGACAAGTTTACATTCGAATTGAAGTGGTACGTGCCAGTGGCGGAAGCCGCTGTCACAGAGGACGGTATAGAGCCGCGCGAAGCCAGCCCCGCCAATGTGGTAGCTTTAAGGTGAGTTGCTGAAAACGCGCTGATTCGCGTAATATTTGTCATTAATAACGATAAGCAATATCATGACTAATCTATGATGACATATTTGTACACATTGATAGATACTTTATCAGATTAGTCATCGATATATATCGCGTCTCATTATATTGAGAATCAAACGGATATAAATAATTATCAGTCGTCGATAAAACTCAATTGTCCAATTCACTAATACTTGTAAACGATTTACAAGTGGTAGAAATTGAACAAATTTCTCCATCAATCTCGCATCTGTTGAATAGCGGATCTAATTTGAAAATTATCGAACAGATCGCAGGCATGTACGGTACGTGATCAGATACTGTGGGAGGAGCGGAACGACGAGAAGCGAATCCGACTGGGTGGCAGAGGCTCGGAGAAGAATCGTAAGAAACTTGCCGAGCTCGAGGCGCAATTGGTGCTGGCCTCGCCGAATTTAGTCCTGCGTGTCGCACACAAGAGTCAACAGAATCGTGTGCAAAATTCCTACACTTTCTTCCTGTCCAGCGAGTTCGAGCGCTCCCAATGGGTGGAGGCGGTAGAGGCGTTACAGCAGGTTGTACAATTTTATATTATTAATTAATCTTTTGAGTGCAGAGCGCTCTGCGTATTCAATCCTTTTTGACAAGCTTGTATAAGAATATTTGTTTTGATTAATAGAATATGCATTATTAGAATAAATTTGTTTAAGCAATTTATTAATAATATAAAAAAACAAACTTTTTTGGCATCCAACATATACACCTACTGATAATTTTTATTTGTATCCAGAATATAAACCGAAAAGATTGAAACTGATCAATTAATATGCAATATCTACAATATCTCAAGTTACACTTGAAAGGCAAAAAATTCACGGTTATCGTGATGTTTTGCAGAGCGGACAGCCGCCAGGACAGCTGCCCTTGACGATGTACGAACTGCAGGCTTGGGTCACAGCTTGTCGGACGTATCTGCAAACGGATATGGGCAGCTACCTGCTAAGGTCGGGACGCGATGAGAGTTTGCTGCTGGGTGATCTTCATCTGACACTACTCGGTTTGACTCCACCGGGCTTAGACAGGGTCGGTGATCTCTATATCATTGTGGAGGTCGACAGCTACGGACACTATTTCAAGAGGGCGCGGAGTCGTCTTGTCAGAGGCCAAGCTCCGCTTTGGGGTTAGACATATTTTCTACACTGCTTTTAGTATTAGTTTATGATTGTTAGAAAATGTAAATAACCATCTTCATTGAAATATCTATAGTATATAGCTGCAGATTATATAAAACTGTCCCATTTTCTTCAATTAGGTGAGACTTTTGTGGTGGAGTTGGAGGGAAGTCAAAATGTCAGGATTCTATTGTACGAAGAGTGTGGCACTCGCTCGGTATTGCGAGGCAAGTGCGTTCAGAAGTTGAGTAGATCCTGGTTGGCCGATCATCAAATGGAGAGATCTCTGAATTTGGGGCCCGCGACATTGGATGTGGCGCTGCGTTTCGTTCCCAGCGAGGTTACTCTGAGGCGAGTGCCCTCGGCTAAACCGCAAGGCTTATTCGGTGCTAAGATTCAACAAGTTTGCAAGTACGCACATTAGTTTCATTCATTCTGAGAAAATCGGAAAAAGAGTTGCGCAAGAGCTCGATCTCAATGATAAAGAAAAATTGATTCAACGTTGAGATCGAAAGATTCGCGAGAAAGAACAGAGCTTCTTGCCTCTTTTTGTGAATAACCTCTTAATATGCAATATTTCTCAATTTCTAGATTGGAAATTCCAATACATTTGTAAATTGGAATCGCTAATAATTACACTCTTATAATTCTACTCGTTTATTTCAGACGAGAGAAACGTGACGTGCCTTTTATAATAACGGCATGCGTGCGAGAGGTGGAGAGACGAGGTGTCGGCGAGGTGGGCCTGTATCGCGTTTCCGGCTCGGCGTCCGACGTGGCGAGGCTACGTAAATCGTTCGAGAGCAATTCGTACGAGGCAGAGCAATTGCTTAAAGAGGTGTGTTTCGCGTTTCTGACATTCTATATTAATAATTCTATAGTGAGGAGTTTTCTGCCATTGATATTTTTATACATACAGGTGGATGTTCACTCGGTGACGGGCGTGCTGAAGCTGTACTTGCGCGAGATGCCGGAGGCGTTGTTCACCGACGCGCTTTATCCGGCATTCCTGGAGGCCTTCCAAACGGGCGATTTGTCACGATGCGCCGCTCTGCGTCGCGTCTACGACGGCCTGCCCGCCGTCAATAAGGCGGTGATCGACTTCCTTCTGGCTCATCTTGCTCGTGTGAACAAGCATGAGGCGCAGAACAAGATGTCGCTGCACAATCTGGCCACAGTGTTCGGCCCCACGCTGCTGCGACCCGGCACCAACAACTCGCGCAGCGACGCAAAGAGCCGCGATCCCCTCGCCGCGGGCACAGTTGATGTGATGGCGCAGGCCGGCATTCTCTACTGCTTCCTGCAGTTACATATGCAACAACAGAACAATCAATCGCTCTAGTCGACAAAGTCCTTCGATCCCGATCCAATTAACGTTGCCATGAACGTTTGATTTGTAATCGGTAAGTAAATTGGCAATGGAAACGCGGCGATCTCTTCCTCAATAAAGCCAAACGTCGAAAATATGATGTGATGGTGTCTGAAGGATATTTTGAGTTCTACGGTAATTCATAATAATTGTTTGATTATATGAAATGCGTTATAAAAAATGTTAAGAATAAAAAAATATGAAATATTTTATTTCGAACGACCCGAACGAAAAGTTCAGGCGTGGATCACCGGTGACTCACGGTGTTAATCAAATTTCGAAAATGTAATATTTGTATTTTTACGCTGTTTACGTAATAAGCTTTACGTATAATAACTTACGTTATTAAGTAAAAATTAACAGTGTATGTCCTTTAAACGAAGATGCAAACGAAACTTTTTTATCTAACTTTTGTTTCATTTTTGTTAACTTTTTATTTAGATACGACGTTGTGGAATTTGTTGTCGAATTTCATAGAAATGTTATTTTCGTTGTTTTAATTAATACGTTTGTATTGAGAAGTCAATTGCCAATCTTTGTCCTCCAGACACTAATCAATTTTTTTTTTGTATTGCGCTGATCCTGGTACTCTCTAAATTTCTTAGAGATAACGCACTCGAAAAATTGAATGACTGGTCGTGTCGCTCGAGTAAGAGTGACTTTTCATTCATACGGAGTTAATTCTTTCTCTTTTTGTTGTAGAGTGAATTTTTTACTCTACAAAGTAGAGTGATTATGTGTACTTTATTTTATAGAGCGAATATTTTCACTCTATGCAGTGTGGAGTGAATATTTCATTCACATGAAGAGTGCAATCTCTGTTAAAACAAACGCCTTAAGGTAAAAGACTCAGTGTTTGGACAGTTAAGGCCGCACTGCAAGAAATAATAAATATTCACCATAAAAAAGTCCTTAAATATACAAAATTTTTCTATTGTTTTATAAAATAGTTTATTAACCGTCAAAATCCACTTTAAAAACCATCATTTATTGATGAATATATTTTTAATTAATGAAAATATGTAAACAGTCAAATGTACCAGTATTCGGACACGTCAAATAGCTATGTTTCAGTGATCAATATCGCATTATCGAGTAATCGGACATTTATGAGTTACGTCGTTAGAAAACATTTTTTAGGGAGAAAAAATCATTTTTTAATCAGTAAAATAACGAAACTTTATGCTTCAAAGTTAATCAAAATGATTTTCGCTTAGAAATTAATTTTTTTTACATGAATATCAAGATAATTAAGTACAACCATTAGTTGTATAGTTCTTATATGCACATCTAACAGATTTATTTTTATTTTTTAATATTGCAGAAATGATTAATAATCTTAATATTTCGCTGACTATCCGAACATTGGATCTTTTACCTTACTAACGAAGAAGATTTCATTCTCTGATCGAGTGAATTCACGTCGGAACGAGTAATACATTACTCTACGTTAGAGTTAAACAATCACTTTTTTGTGAAAAGTGAAGTTTTACTATTTACGAGTGGCGGTATTTTCACTTGAAGTGAATATCCACTCGTTTGGAGTTAGATTTCACTCTAAGAAATTTAGAGAATACGATTAATCCATTCAACAGTTTTTTTTTATAAGCATTAGTATCTTTGCAATGCTGAGATAGAGCCTGAAAATGTATTAAGCAAAAATAGACTGGCTTTGATAGAACTCCTCTACGCGAGGATGAAACTTCCTCTATATCCATGCGCGTGCGTAATGTAACGAAGCTGCTCTTATAAAACATATATAAAGCATAATAAAATATGTGTGTGCACACACACACACACACACAAAACACATACGACAAACACACACATACACGATCTTTTTACTTTTGAGGTCATAATATTATTTTTTACTTCGTATTATCCGGGCACGATAATGTCGCTCGCGCGTGATGAAATCTTTTTCCTGATTCATCTTTCTTGAGATGAGATTTTCGTGATAAGAAAAGATTTGAGGAGGTGCAGAAATTTCAGGTGGAAAATTAGCCAAAGAGGATTAGCTTAGATTAGCCAAAGCAAACGAATTGGTTAGTAAAAGGATCGTATTAGTTTTCCATATTAAGAATATCCTGACTGTATTTGAGAGGAAGAAAAAGGTTCATTAAAGAATCTTTTTTTTTTTAATCTAAAAAATATTTAAAAAATTTTTTAAATAGATAAAATATGTAAGATTGTAAAATTATAAAGTCTTGAAAGCCTGAAATTTGTGTACTAAGTATACAGTCCGTGCTCTAAGAAGTAAATACTTTTTTACGTGACGTGTGTTCCTAGCAGAGAATATAAATCTTTTAATGCGAGCTCTTTTGTACACCCGTTGCAGGAAGCAACCTATCGTTCTAAATACATAATATGGATATTGTACTCCTATAATTCACAATAGTGTTCATCTTGCAAAAACGTCACAATACTGAAAGAAAGAAAGAGAGAGAGAAAGAGAGAGAATGTGTGGTTTGTCATTCTTTGGAGATGAAATTCAGAGAATGGCGTTTCTCGTAATGTGTGAAGAAAATGAACATATTCATCCAATAATCTTCCATTCCATTTGTCGACTCGTACTCTTCGCGGAAAATTCGAGATATCGTTTTGAATTTTTACGCAGAAACTCACATTTTATCGTAGAATTGCGAAAAAGAATTTTTCATAACTCCTTCAAAGCAGTATTTTTCGACAAGCATAAGTTTTTTTTTCCATTATTGTAATGCAGTTTAATAAGACGCCAAAGAGAAAGATCTTTCTTCGTGTGTACAGAGTGTTTGAGAACATTGTGACTTAAACGAGAAAATAGCAATTTCTTATAAAAAAAGGAAAACAAAAACGCAGAATAAATTTATTCTTAATTTATATATACAAGATTATACACAAGATTATACACAAGATCTTATATATAAATCAAGAACAAATTATTTGTGTATAAATACTTTTTATTTCTTTTTCTTTACAGGAAACTGTTTATCTCGTAAATGCATTACAATCTTTTGAACACTCTGTATTATGAAGAAGCTTACCGTAGTCGATAATAAAAGAAAGAAACTAACACGCGAGTTTGGCAGTACAAATTAAAAAGACTCGATAAGGATTGTCCCATGTTTTATGTCAGGTCACTGCAAAGTTTGCAATAACTGTAGACGAAAAAGAACAGAAAAAAAAAGGAGAAAACGAAGAAAGAGTCAGGTCTGACGAGTATTTGATAACAAACGAACAAAAATATATGAAAAGTATTAAATTGTTTATGCTCGAATGAACTAGGCAACTATTATATTTTGTGCGTGTGGAAGCAGCTGCGTGCGTGTTTGTTACTTGTATGCGTGTATTATTCCTCTTCCCTTATGTATGTATTATACCGAAAAAAAAGTACCACATATTCTAAGATTACTTTTGATATCGTAGCGTTTAAAAAGCATTCGCCTTTTTTGTATATTGATATAGAGTGTAAAGACGAGTTTTTCCTTATTATTTGTGTTATTATTACTATTATTATTACTTCACACACACGAAATAATTATTATTATACACCAATAAACTGTTATGAAATTTGGTTAAGCTAGCTTGTATGCAGCAAGATGCAATGTACTGCCAAAAAAAACCACTTAAAGTGCATAAATATACTGAAGGTTTATAAACTTTTACATTGGTTAGTATTTTTCTTTGAAATTTTATACACCTCTTCTCGACGTGGGATTCGTTTGGGGCGCTAAGAGAAAAAGAATTCGATTTGTAAAGCGAATTTTATTTGAGCAAACGCCCCAGGAGAAAGAATAATACATGTATTAAGTTTGGAGTAAATGTTGAATGTTGAAGTTTGTCAAAGAAGTTTCTAAGCGATTTAAATTTGATATGCTCTCTAAGTATGCTATATTTTAATATAATTTCTCTAATATTATTTACTGTAATTTTTAATATTGTTCCCTTTTGAATTACTCATGCAATAGAACAATTGTCTAATTTGAAATTAAACGGCTGACATTCACATCTGATTCAAGATCTCTTGCTGAAGCGACGACTCCAAGCAATCTCTAGCCGGCGGTGGTAGAGGCAATCGAACGGGTGTCGCCGCGATGTTGTCCCATAAACCGGGCAATCGAGAGCCATCTGAGCCGTTGCATTGCATACCTATATATATAAGTAATTAACAGATTAACAATTAATTGCAGATTATTGCAGAAAGAAACATACATTAAACATAATTGGTTTTTAAAAATATAGATTTCTTTCCGTGTTGCGTATTGAGCGCTTTGTTAAAAATTATCAAAATTTAAAAGAACGTTAAACACATAGTTTCTAGGTGCGAACCTAAAGGCGCAGCTTCGTAGAGATCGTGAAGAGCTTCTACGCGGATCTTTGTCCACTCGATACTCTGATAATTCGCCGAGATGCCCTTCTCTGCACTAGTTTTTTGACTTTCCCATTCTCGCATGTAGCGAAAATACGTTCGCAGAGCATCGTCGCTTATGGCGCTTTTGCACACCTAACATGAAATTTTGTAAGACAATCATATTTTTCCCCTTCAATCGCGGATGCAAATGAATAAATTTGTTTTATTTACATTTTTTTAATTTATAGCGTACCTCTAATCGCGCGTTGGGATAATAATGAACGTAATTGACGCACATCTCGTCGGATATAGCGAAGCCGCCGAGAGTCACATTGTCCCTCTTCACGGTGTTATATGTGCACGTGGTTATCAGAGAATCTCCCTGAAAGATATTTCATTTTATTCGTTCAAATTATTATTTTTAATTTTCTTCATTTAGCCGCTTAATCATCTCGTGGCTGTTCGTTTTCGATCAACAAGAAAGAGGCGATCATGTATAACGCATTATATTATTTTTACATTTTGAGGCTTTCGATTTCTAACAAATTAATTAATTTCTGTATTCATCCGGTATCTATCTTCATTTCTTTATTTCTATATTCTGTTCAACATAATAAGTTTTCTTACGGGCAGAACAGTAACTGGTTTCGGCAATAGTCGGATCTCTTGAAAATGTGTGGAGTAATGATTGTCATAGTTCAATGATGATAGTTCCTCGCCATCCCTTACGTGACGAGTGATGACCTTGGTGCCCGTCAGATGCGTGTGCAGCTGAGAGGCGAAAATGTGAATACCGTTTTGTGGCAATCCGATCCCGGTGCATTCCGTTATGCAATGTCCGGATAGAGTGAAAGCTTCCTGAGAGAAAGTAAAGAAGAATTGGATTCATTAAAACTGAAAAGCCACCTAGAAAATTGTAAATCTAAAGATTAGTATTTCTTTTTTATTCAGAAAAAACAACAGAATTATCATTATACTTATAGTCGAAGAAATTTTAAACTTGTAAAAAACGGAAAAAAGAATGTACTGGCCCAGCAAATTTTACGCTATTATAGCAAAATACGTTAGTTATTTTATGGATAGCAAAGAGAGATTTGTTGCAGATGCTAATTTTATTTGCTAAATCTGTATCGTTATAACGAATTGACTTTTACTTTGTCATTAAAGTTTGTATTGGCAGCGACAATTTTGCTGCATTGGCAAAACACATTTGTTCTTTCTTTACTTGTAGCGGAGGTATAGCCATCTTATCAGTATACTCGAGTCCCAGCTCGATCACACCAGCGTCGTATTTTCTAAGAGTTTTTGTGAGGACAAATCGAATTCCGGACGAGTCGACAACACCCTGATGCAGTTCGGGATTATTATAATGCACCTCCAGCATGATGTACGGATTGAAATCGGCCCCACCGATGGACAAACCGGCTTCTTCCGGATACACAAACGCGTCAGCGCCCATCGCCCATGCCGCCAACACTTTCTTACAAATCTGTATGGATCAAGCTGAACGTCATCATTGTTGAATTTAAAACAACTATCGAAGACATGGACACTTTTCTGTCAGAAAGATAGTATATTCATGATCTTTTTACTGAAAATCTTTGAAACGGCTTTAATTGCTATCGATTAGCAATTGATGTTTCGATTTAACAGTAAATTGAATTTTTCTGACAAATATTTAAAGTAACCTGCGTCTTTTCCGGTCTATCAGCTCCATCGCAGGGCCCGTCGTACATCGGCACTTCCAGATTCGCGAGCCCGGCGCAATGGAAGACTTCCATGTGATGTACAAGATGTTCGTTACCTGCTTGTATGGCGGGACCAAATTGTAGGATATGATGCCTACCGATAAATATATTTATTCGCTAAGTTTCCAGTAAAAAGAATAGCCGATTGCAAATAAAAACGTTCCGAACAAACCGGACGAAAGTATGACAATAATGAGACGTGAAACGCGTAAAAAAAATCTTACAAATTTATTAAAACATGCATAGTTTTGTATTTGCATGCACATATACTTTTGCCTCAACACCGCTGGCAGTTTGTGCACGCGACACCAATAGGTGGTCTCCTTGTTCGGCACTTGAACTCGATGGGCGAGCAGTTCCAGCTGCCAGGCGTTCGCGGGGAACTTGGGCTTCTTATGGGACACCCTACGCAATTCCGTACGGGACATGCCCGACGCTTTCGCGTCTGACGTCTCGAGACCGGCCAAAGAGGACAGTGGTCCGCGACCGCGGAGCCACACGAGATGCGTGGTGCCTCTCTGAGGACAAATATTTTGCCACGATTTAATCAAGATTTTCGACAAGAATAACAATACTTCGCAGAAGAACAACAAGCTAATAGAGCAGAAGCCGGATAGAATTGCTCAAAAATTCATTTAAAGAATTATTACAAACGTTTCGGCCTAAGGAATGTGGCCGTCTTCGGTGTAAAATTGACATAAATGATGTAGTCGCAAGTAGAGAAACGTTGATAAGATAGTTAAGCTAGAAACGCTCTCGAACAATGGTTATGATTTTGGTAAAACATCCTCTGATAATACGGTTTGTACATTTTTGTTGCTACCCTGAGAGAAATATTTTGCTGAAAATACTATAAAATCAATGAAAAGTAAAATAAAAGTTTTTGAAAAATTACTGAATATATTTCAAAATGAATCATAATTTTCCGTATGAAAATTTAATGTAATACTATGAAATATAAGGAAAGTTAAAATATACTGCTAAAAAGTAATAAAAGAGTTTTTAAATAATTATCATTATGAAATTTACTGAATTAAACTGAAAACTGTTACTTTTTAATGAAAAATTGCTGAAATATTTATGAAATTAATTAATGTCAATTGAGAGAAATTTTCAAATACATTTCAGCAAAATTTCGTTATATTTTTAGAAAAATATTTCCATCAGGGTAGTCTTATTAAAAGTGTGTAAAGCCAAGGACCATCTTAAACGGTCCGTCAGAAATGTGTATCAAAAATTAAAAATAAGACATGTGTCAACGGCAGTTAGCGGGACTCGACTGGCCTTAGGCCGAAATATTTCTTTAATAATTCTTTGATAAAATGAATTTTTGAGCAATTCTATCCGGCTCCTGCTCTATTAGCTCGTTTTTCATGATTATTATTTTAATAAGGAAGAGCAATATCTTAATACTATTTGTATTTTAATATTTCGCAGCTTTGCTTCGTTCTTATAATAATAAAAAACTTTACAATTCTATCCTTGTTTTTACTTGAAATTGTAAAGCTCTAATTGTAGAGTCGTACTTGCCTCAATAATATAATCATACTCATCGCAGGTGTCGAATTTACGGTAAAAGGTGAACTTCGTGACATTGCCGCGTCTTCTCCAGGCGAAGTTCAAGCAGTCCTGCTGGGTGTCCAGGTGTAATTTTCCGTCGACGTCCGCCCACGAGTCCTGTCAATTGTTTTTTGAGACAAGGTCGACGGTTTTGTGCGCATTAAGCGTGATCTAATACTTTGTATTATTGAATATATACTTGAAAATGAACTTGTTGGTGCCAGTCGGACCACAAAACACAGTAATCAGCCGGTTTCTGTTCTCCATAGTCGGAGAATCCAATCGCAAACCAGCTGTTGTTGTCACCGACGTAGTGAACCTCCACGACCACCAGCTCGTTCGTCAAATCCACTCTGAAAATGCACTCGATACGTCACCTCTACTCGTTAAATTTAAAAAGTCTCAAAGTAACAATAACAGAACATGTATTTCTATAAACACTTGATAATTTCAATGATAAATTTGCACCTCCAGTGGAAAGTCACCTCCGAACCGAGCGGAACCGTGTGCACCGCGTTCACAGCTGCATTTTCGGACATCAAGGAGTTGTGGCGAGACCAACTCGGATGGATGCCCGCGAAAGCGACAAGTAACAATAGCAGCAGCATCATTTTCGATCGAATCCCTGTCAAATCTTTCTACAAAACGATTTTGCCGAGTTTTATCTTTGATTTGGATTTTTCTTTAATCTCACTTGCTAGACTTTAACGTTACGATCAAGCTTATCTCGATTCTTAAATGTCGCTCGAGGCTTATGGATCATATCGTGTTGTCCGCGAAAGGTGAGTCTGCACTGATGATCCTTGCGAAGCCGCAAACTTCCGCGTCTCGCAGGATTCTGTGCTTGCGAGTCAACATGAAACGCGCAAGCTCGACGGAACTGGTTCACGGATTAGACACCCCCTTGCATTTTTCTCGAAATTGTTGTCTTTCTTAAGTTATTAAGAAAATAATAAATCTTGATCTGGTTTTCATTTAATTTTAGTTTTATATTTTTGCATTGTATTACACGTGTATTACAGGATGTAGCAAAATAATTAACAAAACTGAATTTAAACAATTTTTTATATAAATATTGTTTGTTAGACGATAACGCTTTTTGCAAAAAGCACATCTATTAATTGTCAAAATTTTGTTTGTGTGTATTATGCGTACATAAATTTACAACATTTTAAATATTGTAAATTATATACAAATAATTTAAGATATTAAAAATACAGCTAATTTACAGTTTAAAATAATTAATTTGTACAACGTAATCTGATCCCAGACTAATTAGTAGACGATAATTTCCGATAACCGATAATTTCATCAAGAAAGAAATTCAATATCTCAAATTGCCAATTTGAAGCGTATTTTAAATATACCGAGTGTCTTGGTTTTTCTGGTAGATCTTGCGGAAAATTTTATGGAAAAAAACCGTTTATTTCCAGTTGCGTATAACTTGAAGCTTATAGTAAACAAACTTTCCGTTCTTCATTTTTTGGACACAAAAATTAAGAAAAATTTGACCAAATAAATCGAAGAATTCGCAATTAAAATTAAGATCAACGGTCTCTTGGGAGGAAAGAGGGTTGTCATATTAATCGAATATTCCGAGGCACGTATATTGCATTCCATTTGTGGAGCGTGCCTTGGCGCTGGGCTGCAATCAAGAAATTCCACGGAACTTATTGCGGGCGGGGCTCTTTATTGTGCGTTATTAATGCGTTAAACAATTTGTGCGGGGGAGGCAAACTTGAGGAATGTCGAATCGAGAAGCGCGTGTGCGTCTATTTTCTGCGTACCAATTCACTTCTCTTTGCTTGCACAATAGTGTAAAACATCAACAAAACGTGAGAATCTGCGCGTTCCAAGAAATATTTTCGCTAAGGACTGGTTGTTCCAACTTCTTGGTAGACTTTACCTCTCAGTTATCTAAAATAAATATCAGTAATTCTTACTCGGTGGTTGGAATACTAAAATTACTTCTTGGTAATAATAATTTAACCCGTAGATAAACTTCACAAACAGCTACTGATATTTATTTTAGGTAACTAAAAGATAAAGTTTACTGGAGTCCTAAATGTAATTATCATTATATAATGTAATGTTTTTCAAAAAAGTTCAATTTTATTTTATTTTTATAAAATAATAAGAGCGATTATATAAAAGTTAAGGAATTTTAATTACAATAATTAAGACAGTTTATCTGGATCTGCATTGATTTGCATTTTGTGTATTTTATGTTATGCATCGATTGCTTCGTCGCTTAGATACTTAAAGCGAAACAGCTGCCGCCTTGCGACAATTAAAGGTCAATTAACATCAATTACGACTCATAAAGTTGTCATTTGCGATAAACACATAACTCACGCTAAGAAATAAATATACGAACCGAGAAGAATTTCATTTTACTTTTAAAATTGAAGCAAATGTAAAAATTAAAAATGTATGCTTCACGAAATATTTCCTATTTTATTTTGTAAGATATGCTAAAGTTAAATACACTATTTAAAGTTAATGTTTATATTTGTGTCAATCATCTTTTTATAATTAAAAATTAATTCTTTTTAAAGTTATTCAAATATACATTTGCCTGAACTCGTGTAGAATTTATCTAATAATATTGTCGTATCGATGCGTTATTAAAAAATTAATATATTATTCGCTTTATTGGATTTCTGTATTTTCTCTTGTCATTCATCATATATCTCGATCTTTGAATCGAAATCGATAATCGACCCGAATATTTCAAAATTTCTCACGTAACCCGAGGCTTCTACAGACACACTTCGCATCATTCCACGTTTTATACTCGACACGAGATCGCGACAGCCATGGCCGTGGCGGGGCACAGCGGATGATGATGACGGCAAGGGGTAGAGAGGAAAGGAACAGCGCGGAAATGCTGACGGCCAGCTGGCGAAGCCGCCAGCCAGTCGGGAAAGACAAGCGCTCGCGCTTGGATTGGAGTGTCGGAGCAACCAGTCCGAAGCACGTACACACACATATACTAGGTGCGCAACTAAGTTTCCGGGTTTCACACATGAATGGCGCTAACGATACATGTAGTCGATATACATGTCTAAAGTTGTGTTTTTTTATTAACTTGGACATCTGTCAACAATAACCAGTCATAATACCAACACATATTGCAACGCAAAAATATTTTTACTAACAATAAAGATGTCGAGTTTTGTGCC